AGCCACTGAGTTCTAAGGAGTGATTGTGGTCAGCTGATAAGCACACATCAGGCCAGATGATAGCAGATGTGGATCCTAATGACAGAGGGAAAGCAAGGCCGGAGTCTGACTCCGAGCAGCTTTTGTGAACTGATGAAAACAAGGTCTCCGGAATAATGGTAATAAGAGAGAATACTATGTTCGATTCCCAAGGGGTCATTCTGGGTTTGTTTTTACAGCAGGCTTTTGTAGCAGGTCAGAACGTCCTGACCCTACTCCACTCCACCACTGGCAGCTGTTCTCGCCCTACCCCTTCTTCCTGCCACCACTCTGTGGGTGGAGGAGAGGTGGGACTGTTGATTCCTGGGGTCACTGTGCTAGAAACTAGATATGCAAAGAAGAAAGGTCGTATTTCCACTCTCACTGGGAGCTATTAGGATAGTACCCAAAACAGGGCTGTCTAAAACCAATGATAAGAGACTTCAGTGCTGGCCATGATAGAGTAACAGAGGCACAATTAAATAAATAAATAAATAAATAAATAAATAAATAAATAAATAAATATTAGAAAAACCCAGAAAAAATACATGAAACAGTTTTCAGACAGTGGACAACAGGCAGCACAATACAGTGATTCCTGAGAGTGGGGAATAAATGAAGCGAGCCCTACAATTGTCCCAGGTAATTACCTGGAGAGAGTTTCCAGGCCACAGCACAGGGAGGGGAGACCCAGGCAGAGCCCAGTGGTCTCATGGCGTTGAGGAGGCAGAGCCAAGGGTCTGGGGAAGCCAAGGAGGTAGAGCTCCCAGGGAACAGTACCAGAGAAGAGAGTTGCATGAGAGCTCCAGCAATCTGCAGAGGCCCCTCGAGTGCTGTTCACCACATGCATGAGTGGAAACTACTAAGGTTGAGGAAAGAACCAGAAAAAAGGAGCAAGTAGCAAAATCCTTAGAGCTTGTTTCGGCTGGGTAATAGTCTCTGTTCCCACCAGCCAGAATATTAAAGAAAAACCTCGAAATGTATGAGGTACTGGATATGGTTCTCAAAAAATTATTGTCTCAGTAGTGAGGCCCAAATGAGACCTACATTTAAAGGCTGCTCTGGACCACCTAGCAAAGCTTAAAAGCAAGACTGAAAAGGATCACATCATTTCCAAGTAGCCTAAGTGCTTTCCAGAACAAAACTGAAAAATGTTTAAAGAAATTAAAAAAAAAAAAAATTTAGCACCCAACAACATAAAATTCCCAATGGCTGATATCCAATCAACAATGACCAGGCATTCAAAGAAGCAAGAAAATTTGACCCATAATAATGAAAAAAATCAATCAATACAGACTCAGAAATTATACAGATTATAGAATTGATAAAGAGGACATTAAGATGTTTGTTATATTTTATATGTTCAAGAGGGTAGAGGAAGGACTGAGCATGACAGAGTCATGGAAAATATTTAAAAAAAAAAAGCCAAATCAAACTTCTACACCTGAAAACTACAACTTTTGAGAGGAAAACTACAGTAGATGGGATTCACAGCAGATTAAGCTCTGCAGAAGAAAAACTCAGTGACATGGCAGTGGAAAACTGGAATTTGGCCCCTCTTTTCTCCATATACTCCAGACACTAATTTCTATACAGTACACTTGTTCCCACTCAAGCATAATAATATTGTTGTTATGTAAGGTTTTGATTTCACTCTCTCTCTGAAGGAAATGCCCAAAATGGTGGGGGAGTCAAATTAATTATGCATATACATATATATACATATATTAAACATGTATAATGTATTATACATATACATTATATACATCTACATATATACAGTATATACATATGTATAGATACTTACATATACATAAAATATTTCTTGAAGGATACACAAGTTGCCTCTAGGGACAGAATCTGCATGTCTGGGGCAGGGAGTGAAGGGAAATTTTTTACTGTGCCTTTTATACCCTTTGCATCCACTGGGTTCTGTGAATATATTACTTATTCAAAACATAAATAAAATATGGAATAAACAGTACATGATGGTCACAAGTGGACTCAACAATGGAGTGCGAATGGAATCAGGACGGAAGTGGGGTGCTCCAGCCTCCTGGAGGAATAGATGCCCAAGGCTGTGTCCCCTGGTGGAGCGAGTAACCCAGGTCCTGTCTGTGAAGGGCCAGGAGGGACTTGGAGGGAGCTTGGGAGCCCCAGGGATGCACACCCCAAGCTGGGCGGTTAGCTCATATCCGCTGCAGCCTACCCTGGAGTGGCACATGAGTCATCAGGGCCACACTGCCTGAGCAGATTCTGGTTTAAAGGGAGAGAGCACCCCAAGGACTAGAACCATGAGCTAGAAGTTACAGGGATATAGATTTCAGCTCAATATAAGGAAGAACACTCTAAAATCAGAACCCCCTGGGAGGTTGTGAGTTCACTGCCTCTGGGCACGTTCTGACACTGAAAGGCCATGCCACAGGGACGCCACAGAGACCCAGCAGCCGCAGCTGATGGCCCCACGTCCATCACCTTTATAGTCCCTCCGTGTGCACACAGAGAGTGAGCAGACAGGTGAGAAGTGTCCCCTTTCTCTTTCGCTAAGGGAACAGCAAGTCAAACAAGACAGATGTTAGTAGCATTCGCACAGAAGTCATCAGGTGTCACTCGCTGGTGAGAAGTTTTGTAGGAATACCCGTACCTTTCTAAATACTGGGAGCCATTATCTTCCTGATGGTACATTGCACATAGCCACTGTAAACTTTGGAATTTAGGCGTGTGGGTAATCTCTTGCTTTCTTAATATTTGAATAGTGCCATGGTCTCTCAGTTAACTGCCTTTGTGTAACAGATATATGGGCTAAGAGTAATTCTTTGGGACAGGATTTTTGCTACCTTTGTCTAGAACCAGCACCTGCCAGGGGAAACAATAGTCTAGGGGTCAGTTCTGTGTTGGAGAATAAAAAACAAAGAGAAGGAATTCTGAGAAATATGTACACCCCCCCCCCAATTTTTTTTCAACACAAAGGAAGCAAGAGCTAGATACAGGAAAGAAACCTCTTTTGGGGGGCGAAGCCAAATAAACTTAAATGGCTTAAGGAATAAATTGGTGGAATAATTCGAATCCTGGGCAGGTGCATGAATGTAATTTAGTAAATGCTCGGGAACCTGCCAAGGAAAAGAAAAATGTGTTGTTTTTGAGATCATTTCCCAGCAGCTTCATAAAAGAAAACTGATTACAGGAATTTAATAAGTAAAACAGAGCCAGAAATATAGTAATCAAATGAGTTTTTAATTACATTTCAGGCAGGAAAAAAAATTCCAATTTGTGCTCCTGGGATTAAAAAAAAATTTTAGAAAAATGCTTTTGTAGCAGGAAAATAACATAAACACTAATTTCCATAGAAATTATAGTAGTCAGTTTAATTAAAAGGCTTGATCAGAGTGAAGAGGAGCCAGTGCCAACCTCTACTAAATAAAACCGCGGCCTTCACTGCCGCCTCACGCTCGTGTCTAAATAAAAGCACAGCACGCTGAGCAGAAACAGACACCTGCATTTTTCTCAAGGAAATAAACGGGATTTTGATCACTGCCTGAGTTATTACGTTTGATTTTCATATGGCACCACTAATACATCTGATTTAAAATTAGATGTTGTTGCTTGTTGCTTGGTGTGATAAATACCACTTTTAAGGGAGAAAATATGCTCCATTTAAGGGACGTTGATGTGAAGGGACAACACCCCCTCAGCCGGGCTGGGGAGCTCCCTGCTCAGTAGGATATCTGATTATTTATTCCTGGCCTTGTCAACCCCCACTTAACTTACATCTAGTTGCATTCTACTTGTATCCCTGTAAGTACCTGGAGTGAAAGGTTATTTGAGGGGGTAAACAGGCGACCTGTAGTCGTGCTCAGGGCAGAACATCCTCAACTGGAAGAGCCGTTCTGCCTGTTGCAGGACTTTGCTTTTGACCTACCACCCCCCACCACAGCTCACGCTTGGAGCCCGCTTTTCGGTAGGTGTGCTGACATTGCGGTGGTGTTGCTCCCCTTGTGGTGAATGGGACACACCTACGAGGTATCTGCATGGGACTGGGGGTATAATCTGTGCCCACGGAACGCTAACCCAAGGCATAAAGTGGGAACATGAAGGGCTTCCTTTCCATGGGCCGACACCCCACGGCTCCACAATCCTCGCTTTAGTCATTGTTTATTCCACTAAAGGGGCGGTCCAAGTTTGGTGAGGCCAGAAGTGTATGCCATTTGGGAGTAGGGGCCTTTACACACACACACACACACACACACACACACACACACACACAATTAAGTCCAAAAGACAATAGTTAGCAGGGTCTCCTGTAAGATCTTGAATCCAGAGCTTCATTAGCCTCGTGGTCAGGCGGCCTCTCCCACCCCTCCATTTCCGCTTCCCTCATCTCTCCTACACCCTCCATCCCTCTCTTACACACTCTTTTCTCTTGTGTCCATTTTTCCCTTCTTGTTCTCTTTGTGATCTGTACATTTGGCACAGCTCCCAGATCCTTAGCTTTAAGAATGAGCACCTCCTCTTGTTTCAGAATTTTACCTGGCTTTTCTTATTCAGATAAGTCACCTATGCTGGAGCAAATGGTAGGTTTATTTTTGTCCAAATTGAAGTTCATGGCCTATTGAGATCGGAGGCCTGCATGGCAGGCAAAGATACACATATTAGTAGACATGTGTGAGCTGCATATTTGGTTTCCTGTCTTGTTTGATGCGGATTTAAAACAGGATCATAATCTAACTGGCTGGTACCCCCTGGAGTACTACACAGCCACCTGTCTTATTTTTTAATTTTCTGCATAGGCTCCATTAATATAAAACAATGGCATTAAATGCATATTTACTTCTTATAAATAGCTCATGACTACCAAAATAATTATCATGTTCATTTCTTACAGCCAGTTTCCATTCTCACGAGTGAACGCTGGAAGATCATGTCAGTGACTCCAGTTCCTCTTTCTCCCCACCCACCCCCTCCATTTTATTGTTTTATTTTAGGCACTGGTGAAGGTCAATGAGAAGCTGAAGCCGATGGTGGAGTCCGTGGCTGCGAACAGAACGAAGTGGGAGGAGCTGCACCAGAGAAGGCTGCTGGCCTCAGCCGCCACGCCCTCTTCAGCCAACCTCCTGGTGGCCGGGACAGAGAGCCACTAACCCTCCAGCTCAGCTGCTGCTGCACAGGGACTGCACCCCGAAGGGCCAGCTTTGGTCCAGCCACACCATCCTTTTGTTCCTTTAAGCTCAGATACGCAGCGAGTCTTGAGGATGCACTGGACGCAGGCCTGGGCGTTCAGCTTGGAGAGCGAGACAGGGAGGACAGAGGAGGTAGGGCAGGGCGCACTCCAGGACCCCAGCTTTCCCTGATGGACAGACATGGCTGAGACTGAGACGGCACTGGGCAGAAGACCGTTGTGGGTCCAGACCCGGGGGACAGCCGGCCCTGCTCATTCTGAGCCCAGGGAACGCGGAACAGGAAAGGCGTCATTCGCGCGGCTTCATTTTGTCTGTGGCTCTTTTATTTGCTCCAAGTCAAACAATGCCTGCCTCTGCAGCCTCTCCAGAGCACCCCTTTGTGCCAGACTGTCCCAAGAATCCCAATTTGTATTCTGTAGAGGTATTTTATTTTTATCCTAAAGGTTCTTAATGGTGGCTCAAAGCCTTTGGACTTGCCTACCTAAAAGATAAACTGTATTATCCTGACAAATACCAGCCATTCCCAGTTTCCCCCTAAAAAGGTCCACAGTAGAAATACAGCAGATGTGTTTTTCTGATTGGTGTTTATCCAAGATTCGTAACACCACATTGGGATTGTGGTCTCCTTTTTTAGGTTTTTAATTCAAACTTTATTGTACACCGAGTCTACTCCCGGAAGGAATGGATTAATAGACTTTAATTAAAGGAAGGATGAAAGGAAACGGATTTACCACAGGTGGCATATGAATGCGTAAGAACTGTTTCCAACAGTGAGACATTTCATAGGACACAGCAGAGCCATGGAGAACAATCACTGACTACCTTGAGTTCTCCCAATGATGGTTTTTGTACAAAATTTAAAGTGACTGTCAGTATCAACCTACAGCCAAATACAGGAATTTCCAATTTTGGATTTTTCCTTATGTACAAGAAATAATGCTTGAACGGTTAAGAAATAATGGTCTGTGCAGAGAACAAATATTCTATGGAAAGCCAGATTTATAATAGGTAAGAATAAACTACAGTTAAGTGGATGCAATGACTAGAAAGCTACTTTGCTCCCCATTTTAGGAGATTGAGGACATGGTAGGCTTTATCCAAAGAACACTAGGTGAAAAGCTGTACTTACATTCCTGGTTTGGGCACAATTAACTGGATGATTCTGGACAAGTCACTTAACTGCTCCCAGCCTGTCTCATTTGTCAATTGAGATTATACTAGGAAATGATTTTCAAACATGTTTTAACCTTAGAACTCTTTGTGCAAATCAATCTTACAAGGATTGCCCAAGATATAAATATGTAAAAGCCCAAGTCCTCTGTTTGAAGCTGGGTTTGGAGACCCAGAGCCCCTGTAAATCCTCATCTCTTTGATTTTGTATGTGATGGTCCCTAAAAGGGCTCTGAGGAGTTTGAAAATCCCTGGACCAGAAGAACCTTGAAGTCCATTCCAGCTCTAAAAAAAATCTAAAATTTACAAACCATTTTTTGTTCTTGTCGTCACTGGTCAGTACCAGTTATTAACCTTATTACTCAAATACTAAAGGGGCCAAGTTCCACAGACATAGTAGACATTCAGGGAATGTGTAAAGAATGGGTAAATTAAGGCACCAAAATGGAGGTGAGGGAAGAGCAGCTATTCACATGGAAGAGTCTATGTGGCAAGAATAAAGTAAGAGAAGATTATAAACCAGGCAAAGGGGTACAAGGAGGAGAGGGGGGGGGAGGGAAAGAGAAGGAGAAGCAAAAAAGATGCCCAAGAAAAGCTAGGGACCAAGGCAGGTGATAGAGAACTGCCAAAGGGAAGGTGAAAGTCGATCCAAAGAAAGAAAAATGGCACTTCTAACCAAAAAGATGAGGGTACAAAATCCTGTCATCAACTGCTTAGAAAAGAGAGATACTTGAGCAGGGAGGGGTTTGACAAAAGGGAGAAGTAGGAGCCCTAAAAAATAATGTTCCTAGCTCCCCGTTACAGCTGTCTCTGCAGGGAAGACTGGAGAAACGAGAGGAGAAAATGAATGCAGGAAAAACTGCCTCCGCAGAGCAGGTTAGAGGAGGTTGTTCAGATTTATGGGTTTTATTAAGCCAGTTTTCTAAATCACTCCGCTATAAAGGAAAATAGCTTGAGCTGTGCTGTGTCTCCTCCTCAGGTGAGGAACAAAGGGTGGGTGGAGTTAGGGACAGACGCCCGGCGGGCCGGTGTCTGCAGCTCAGAACCATGATCAGCCGCTGTTTCTGTCTGTCACATCATGTTTATATCACAAACAGGAATTGAAAATCAGTCCACGTGAGGCAGAGACGAACGCACATCTGTTATCCTCTCCAACAATAAATAAATACATAGCCCAGACAGACGGATGCCAGTCTATCTAGAGCAAAATTTTAAAGCATGTGCTTTGTGAGAAAGCTAGACCCAGGGTCTGAGGGAGACTGCAGGCAGCTAGCTCAAGCTACCCTGAACACTGATGCTGCATATTGCTAAGGGGAACATAATTTATAGCACAAACCCTACGGCTTCCACTAAGGTTGAGTTTTCCTCTCATATTCTTGCCTTTTTATTGGCTTCACTGCACGGTTGCCAATAGCAACATCCAGTGGCAGCAAGGGGAGTTCAACACCATTGCAGTCTGCCATACAGTGGAGCCCTGACAATGTCAACCATCAATCAAGTAGCTGTTTGTAATTGCCTCCATCTATTTTTCCTGTCTCAAAGTATCTTTCCTATTGTGGGTCAAAATTCAGAAACTGCTGACTAATGCCATGGTTCTGTTCTCGGAGATCATGAAGCAGTGAAAAGGAGGGTAACTGCCTCCCTGGTGCCAACAACCCAGAGGGTCAGAGGTTGATGACTTGGGAGTTTGAGATGTTTTTAAATAATATATAATTTTCCAAGAATGTGAGGTATGTAAAGTTACCCATATAGTCTGCTTTCCCAAAAGAGAGAAAGAGAGAAAGAGAGAAGTCCCCAATCCTTATTATTAATGTTCATTTCCTGTTGGAGGAAGGCATTTAAAATGTGAGCCTTCCTTTAAAACCTCCAGCTGACCAGACAATTTGCTTCCTCAGGTGTGTTGGCATTTACGGTTGAAATGACTTCATCCTGCTTTCTCCATGAGATGCATTTTTTTTCAGAGATGCTGTTTATTCTCATCTTAGTCAGTATGTAGATAAAACATGCACACCCTACAATGTGCTGGCACTCCTGGCCGGTAGGGGCCGCTTGGCAAACTGTAAAGGGTGCCATCTAGTGCACATGAGGCCTGGGGCTCCATCCTGGCGTGGCCACCAGCTGGACCTGTTCTCTTGGCACGCTCCAGGTCTCAGGTTTTCTGTCTGTAAAATAAAAGCACTGACTTTTATTCAGTTCATTTCCACACCAAAGGGCCAAGCCATATTTAACTTGTAAAACTTTTTCCAGATAACTGTCTTGTTTACTCTTCCCAAATAAAATAGGAACAAACCTAAAAAGATCCTAAAAAGGTCATCTTCTCATTCAAGACAAAATAAAAAGTTACATATATGGGGTAGATATAAACACAACCTTATCACAGATCTGTCTGAGCCTGCCTCTAGTGATCATGAAAGACATGGTCATCAGTACAATTTTTTTTAATATACCCTTTTATTTCATAAAGGACAATTTTAGATGAACTCATATCATAGATAGCCCGTAAATGGGAGACAATTTAATTTAGAAGAAAATTTATAAAGTGAGTCAAAAGAAGTTAAAATTGCATGTGCATTTTATTTCTAAAATCTGAACTGTCTATACATTTGCAGGTATATTTACATACCTGTTGAGTTAGAAATAATCTTTAAATTTTTGTTAGTGTATCGCTACAGGAATTCAGTTGCTTCTTTCATGTATCAGATTTTTTCATACTTTATCCACTTACCTTAAGTCATTAAAAGTCTACCCAGTTTACTTTGCAATACAATTATTTTAAAATCCATTCCTCCTGCTGACTCTTAATAAATTGCAGGAAGGTAAAATACAGTTTTATCCCCAGCAATAGTGTAAAACAATTCCCTTCACACAGGACCAAAATATGAACTTATTAGGGGAAGATTTTCCTAAAGAAAAACATTTGGGCTGGTAAGAAGAAAAACTCAAAAAGAATTCATGAAAGCAACAAAACAAAACCTGATTTGAGAGCCTACAAACTCTGGAGGTGCCACTGTAGTAATGTTTCACGATCTGCTTCAGGATAACAGCCTCAGAAAATGCCGTTCTGCCACGTGCTGTAAAGAAGTCCCCAAACTCAAATGTATCAGGACATTTAAAGGTTGAGTCTGGCTACAAGAAGGCCAAAATTTTCTAAGTTTCTTAAGTGAGCAATAATAAAACACAACGCCAGCAGAAATAAAATGAAGTGTGTCTGGAGTATTTCATGATGAGCACGTGGATTCAGCAATGCCTGGCGTCATCCTTACATTGTCTGTGTTACTACCTTTTCCTCAGCTAGTAATTTGGGGTTGTATGTCTTCTTTAATTTCATTTTGAATGTTCTTGCATTTTTGGTACATCTCTCAACAGTGCTAAAGATAAGTTGTTTATCTGTGTCATACACACACACACACACACACACACACACACACACACACACACACACACCAATGTCATTGAATATATGCACTGGTACAGAAATATGTTTGTTTTATTAAGTAGATGAAGTATTTGCTGGGAAAAAATGTTATTTGAGGCCATCATTTATCTTTGTGTTCATTTTCTGTATGTATATGTATGTGTATTAGAATCTCATTTTTTGTCTTCAGATTTAGATTAAATCATATCTGGATTAATTAAAAAAAAAAGCATCAGCACAGTGTGGAAATAGGCTAGGTTTTGTTGAGTCTCATTCCCTTGGGAGAAAATTGCATTTGCCATTTTATTTTGATGTACAATAATCTAAAAAGGATCTCCTACTGATTTGCTTCCTAATTATTATTGTTTTACACAGAAGGGAAATGTGTCTTAAATTGAGCTGTTTTAAGTCACTTCTTTTGTGTAGATTTCCCAGGCTGATGTTTCATTGTAAGAATACTACAGTATAGACTGCTTGGCCATTTCATAAGCCACTAAGTCATTTTTTTGAAATAGTCTGCTTTAAGAGACTTGAATATCTTTGTTTTTAATAAAATGCTTAAAGTTTGACTAAGGCGCTAGAATAATCTTTATTTCTCTAGAGAAAGGTGATTTAAGGGCTGAAAGAGACAAGCATGCATCCAAATACCAACAATTTAAATTCTGACTGTCACTTTAGCCCATTCACCCTGTCTCAATCTGTGACATTTGCCTGTGTGACAGGAATATTGGGACAGCCCTGTCCATGGAGCATTTTTAAAGATGACAAAATGTTCTTCGAATTATTGAAGTCTTTCTAGAGGGAGAAGAGTCTGCAGCCAATGCAGGTTCCTGCCTCCTTCCAGACTGCTCTCATTTGCATGCGCAATTACACAGGGGGATGGCATCAATGCAGGGCCGCCAGCCACATTAACGCCATACAATTACACAATGGCTTCGCTGCTTAAACTTTAAAATTCTTACACCATTGTGCCTCTTCTATTAGAACAAACTGCAGCAAATGATCCAAAGCCAATTCAAATGACTGGAGAGGAGGTGCCAGGGGGAGACGGGGAAGAGGTGCAGTGTGGCCCCTACCGGCCGGCTGAAGCAATCACCAGGCCCCGGGTGCCGGCGGCGGCAACCACCAGCTTCTTTGTGCTTTGCAGTCCGCGCTTTTCAAGTGGGGCCAACAATAAGAATCACCTAATTCACAGAACAGCTGTAAGGATTAATGAGGGAAGTTAGGCAAAGCAGGACCTGGTCTTGGTACAGAAATACCCTTCATAAACAAATGGGCTACAGTAGCTTTTTGTTTCGATAGTTGGTTGATTTTTTTTTAAATGCCAGTATCCACAGTTGTGCCTTTTCTGCACATTACTTTTATAAACCATATGCTACTGTGCTCGCCCAGATAAGCTAATTTAGATCATAACACCATAAGCCCCCAAATATAAAGTACTTGATAAAAAGCAAGGTATATCCAAGAAGAAAATGGAATTAAAATATTAATAAAGCTGAAATTACAAGGGAAAGGAGAGTTCATAATGAGGTTAAATGTCTCACCACCTGAGCATAAATGTTCCCAGACGTTGATTTGGTATACAATCTTTCCAAAAGTCTTAAAAGATTGAACAGATGCTCCTAAAAGTCAGTCAACTACATTACAAATTTGGCACTAATTTGTTCTTTTCTTCCCTGATTATGGTGGGAAATGGGAGGGAGAGGAAGCAAGGTAACTAAGACCGTCCACCCCCACCCCGCCCCCCAAACTGGCCGTCCTGCAGGAAATGGCCTGGAATGAAAAGCGAAAAGAAGAGCTGGACAACGGTTTTGCAGGATTTCCTCCTTTAGCAAGGACGATGTCTGACCACAGCTGTGGTTGTTGAGATATTCATAAGTTACCAATGTTTACCAACAGGAAGTGGTCACATTTATAGGATAGATAAGCAAACATACCTTCCAACTAGTTTTAAAAGATAATGACAGATTATACATACAAATAGAATGTAGAATTTCATCATCTCACATTTTGGCAGGCAGAAACATAAGCATGTTAAAGAGCCAAACATCATGCTTTTAGCTTCCACACATTTTGCCTAAATGGAATTCTACGCAGTAAAAATGCTTCCTCTTACACAGCAAAATCCACCCTGAGTCTAACATCATTTTCCCAAAACCTAATTCCTTTCAGTAGGGACCACATCATTTTATTACAACCAGTAAATGCTTTCTTATTGCTAGGAATGGTACAATACACTTACTTTTTGATATATGCTCCAGCTTTTCAAGATTCTGTTGGAAACAAAATGATCCTTATGACATTTTATAATATTCCACCCTATTTTTTGCTTTCCAGAATTTCTGTCATTAATTAAAAGGCTTCTTTTCACCATCTCCCCTCCACCTACAAAAAAACAAAAACAAACAAACAAAAAAAACGATCTGTTCCCCGACTGCCTATCAGAGACTAAATAAAAGTCGGTCTATCACAGCAGCAATGATGGTCATGCCAATTTCACAGTGTGATTTGTGCACTCATTTCATTTTGAAAATGACCCTGCCCTCCATCTGTCTAAGCCGAATGTCCTGCTTTTTTCAAGCCAGGCCTCAAGAGCAGCAGCATATGAAATATGGAGGAAGACACAGAACGGCCTCGCTCCTGCCCCCTTCAGCTGCCACATTCACAGACAGGTGCCAACACAAAGAGGGGAACCTCAACTGATGCCTGTAGGGATCAGAGAAATTTGGGGGAGAGCAGATAGTCCTTCTATTTTTCATATATTTCCAAGAAGCCACTTGAAGGTGAATGCTTTCATGATGCAAATACATCTTTCAGAAACAGTGAGACAGACTAAAGACATAAAAGGCAATTTCCTGTTTCCATGTTCTATCATCTTACCTTGATTTAATAGCAACTTACCCAAGGTAACAGTTCGTACATAAGGATTTTAAAATAGTGAGCCTGAGTTTCCAAGGGACAAGCGTAGTCATGCAGCCATAGAGGTGAAGATCCTGCCTGACTCACCCTCGATTATTGAGCAGCACTAGCAGCATCCCTCAGCCTCTCTGGTTGAAGGCCCTTGAAGGATACACTCAGGGACTGGGTTGTAAGAAGCCTCGGAGTAGGTTTATAGTGGTCCTCATTAACTGCTTTCTCTGGGGAACTTAGGTGGCCCAGAGCCCCACTCACTCCTGAAATGGGCATGGTTTGTCCCTTTCTTGGTATTCATGCAATGGAAGTTTCCTTTTCTGGATCTTCCCATAAGAACGCAGCTCTGCCCAGAGCAAAGACTGAAAGAGTACATAAAGTCAGTCATTTTATGATAGGTGCAATCACACACCCGCAGAAATCTCCTCCTAGCTATTCCAGGTGACTAGGAGTCATACCACTCCCAGTAGTTACTTCCTAATATCTGCTCACAGCTGCAATTCAAGCCTGGAAGTCCAAATGTCTACTGCCCACACCAACTTGGTTGGTTTTTTTAATGGAGAAAAGACACCAATCTTCCATCATACAACTTGGCACCAAACACTCATCCGTAAGAAGTATATAGAGTAGGTCATTCAGCAATCACTATTTCCCACTGAAACTAGCTATTGGTTCTCATGGCACACCCACTATTTTCTGTGTGAACTTGAGAAAATTTCTTGAACCTTTCTAGAACACAGATTCTTCATCTGTAATATACAGAATACAGGGTGGATATTAAGATTAGAATTAATATATGTAAATGGTCTAGTAGAATACCATATAACATGGTTGACTTTGGCGCTGAAATTTATATACAAAAGAGATGTATGGGCAGCAACCTATAAAGGCAGATAAAGGACTTGCATTGAAGTCTTTAAGTGTATAGTAAAGACATGCTTTTATTCAAACACCATTTATCTTGGGTACCAGACAGGCCAATGCAGATCATGGAAAATCAGTGGAGAGGTAGGCAGATCAAGGAAGACTGCTTTCTTATTTGTAGTGAAAGTTGGAGGGCCAGGGCAGTAAACATAGCCAGGTTTAAATGCCAATATCTGCACAGTAATAATTATTTATTAAAAAGGGAAGCAGGAGACACTTGGATCTAAAATTGAAGGTCTCACTGCACTGTACACCTGAAGCTGATGTAGAATAATACTTAATGTCAACTATAATTTCATATATATTGGGTCGTCAGGAAAGTCATGACACATTTATTCATTGAAAAACATAGGAAAATACATCACAACTTTCCCAACGACCCAATATGTAAATACAGGGGGTGCCAAAAAAATGTGTACACATTATAAGAAAGGAAAACTGTATTAAAATTGTAATAATATATACCAATAATAAAAGATTAATACAAGCCACATTTGACTTCTACAATTGCAAGAGGTGCTCAAAGTGGTTACCATCAGCATTCAAATACTTCTGATTAGGGTGAACTACTGCTTGAGCAACACTGACCAAAGTGTCCACTTGTATACATTTTTTGGCACCCCTGGTATTTTATATGTGTGTGTGTGTACATATATATATATATATATATGTACACACACACACACACACACACACACACACACACACACATATGGTCCTGGGATGTAAAGTACAGCATAGGGAATATAATCAATGGTATTATAACAGCTATATATGATGTCAGAGGAGTAGTATGTCTGGGGGAGGGGGGTTATAACTTTGTGAGGGGTGTAAATGTCTGATCCTTATGTTGTTTTGTACATGTGAAACTAATATAAAAAATGAATTTTTAAAAATAATAAAATAAAGGGGATCAAATACATGGTGATGGAAGGAAAACTGATTCGGTGGTGAGTACACAATGTGATATATAGATGATGTATTATAGAAATGCGCACTTGAAATCTATGTAATTTCACCATTGTCACCCAAATAAATTTAATTAAAAAATGGAAACAATAATAATAAAATAAAATTGAAGATCTCCCAATACCAGATAAGAGTCACAAAACCATTTCCTATTGTCAACCTGTGGAAACGACAAAAGTAAGGACTCTTGGTCTCTGCATATTATGTTCTTGGAAAGTATGCCCTCAAACAAGGCAGCTTAGAAACAGAACTTACTCTAATTCTAGGGGAATTCCAAGGAAATAGTCCAGCTTTTCCTCCCCATTAATTTACATTAAAAAACCGCGAAACGGCACCATTTGTATGAAGCACACAGTGTATAAGGCTCAAAAATGCAAGGCACATAGGACCCTAAACCTTCCTACCACGCGCCAGAGACTGAGGTAACACTACAAGCAGCCAGCAGCCCTCACCTACTACTATAGGAACAGGCCAGTGAAGCCCACAGGTCCTTCCCTCAGAGACTACATCTCCCAGTAAGCAGCGCACCCACTCACGAGCGGCTGGGGTGCATTTGACCTATGCATGCCGGGAGGTAGAGTTTCCGTCTCTGAACTACCAGAAAGAATTTGCCTCTCTTCTGTGATTCACGATCTCCGCAGCCTGTTTTCGAGGACTGAAACAGTAATTGAAAAACTCACGTCAGTGATTCTCTTTTATTACTAACGGTCTCCTTGCGTTGCAAGTAATCACCCGTCAGTTTCCGTTTCCGGTTGGCTTGTTGCCTTGGTAACTAGGACGCTCAACCGCCGTGGCGGTTATGGCGAGGAGGCTGGGCAGTATGCAGATCCCCGACGGGGAGTTCACCGCGGCCGTGTACCGGCTCATCCGGGATAACCGCCACGCCGAGGCGGTGCAGCTGCTGGGCGGAGAGCTCCAGCGGAGCCCCAGGAGCCGCGCCGGCCTGTCGCTGCTGGGCTACTGCTACTACCGCCTGCAGGAGTTCGCGCTGGCTGCCGAGTGCTACGAGCAGCTGAGCCAGCTGCACCCGGAACTGGAGCAGTACCGCCTGTACCAGGCCCAGGCCCTATACAAGGCCTGCCTTTATCCAGAGGCCACCCGGGTCGCCTTTCTCCTCTTGGACAACCCCACCTACCACAGCCAGGTCCTCCACCTACAAGCTGCTATCAAGTACAGCGAGGGCGATCTGCCTGGGGCCAGGAGCCTGGTGGAGCAGCTCCTGAGTGGGGAAGGGGGAGAAGGCAGTGGGGGCGAGAATGAGCCCGATGGCCAGGTCAACCTGGGATGTTTGCTCTACAAGGAGGGGCAGTATGAAGCCGCGTGTTCCAAGTTCTTTGCAGCCCTACAGACCTCGGGCTACCGGCCTGACCTTTCCTACAACCTGGCTTTAGCTTATTACAGCAACCGGCGCTATGCCCCGGCGCTGAAGCATATCGCCGACATTGTTGAGCATGGCATCCGCCAGCACCCAGAGCTAGGTGTGGGCATGACCACCGAGGGCATTGATGTTCGCAGTGTTGGCAACACTTTAGTCCTTCACCAGACTGCTCTGGTGGAAGCCTTCAACCTCAAGGCGGCCATAGAATACCAACTGAAAAACTATGAGGTGGCCCAGGAAACCCTCACTGACATGCCACCTAGGGCAGAGGAGGAGTTAGACCCTGTGACCCTGCACAACCAGGCGCTAATGAACATGGATGCCAGGCCTACAGAAGGGTTTGAAAAGCTCCAGTTTTTGCTCCAACAGAACCCCTTCCCCCCAGAGACGTTTGGCAACCTGTTGCTGCTCTACTGTAAGTATGAGTATTTTGACCTGGCAGCAGATGTCCTGGCAGAGAATGCTCATTTGACTTATAAGTTCCTCACACCCTATCTCTACGACTTCTTGGATGCCATGATCATTTGCCAGACAGCTCCTGAAGAAGCATTCATTAAGCTTGATGGGCTAGCAGGGATGCTAACTGAGCAGCTCCGGAGACTCACCAAAGAAGTACAGGAAGCAAGACTTAATAGAGATGATACAGCTATCAAAAAGGCAGTGAATGAATATGATGACATCCTGGAGAAGTATATTCCTGTGCTGATGGCCCAGGCGAAAATCTACTGGAACCTTGAAAACTACCCAATGGTAGAAAAGATCTTCCGAAAATCTGTGGAATTCTGCAATGACCATGATGTGTGGAAGCTGAATGTGGCTCATGTTCTGTTCATGCAGGAAAACAAATACAAAGAAGCCATCGGTTTTTATGAGCCCATAGTCAAGAAGCATTATGACAACATCCTGAATGTCAGTGCTATTGTACTGGCTAACCTCTGTGTTTCATATATTATGACGAGTCAAAATGAAGAAGCCGAGGAGCTGATGAGGAAAATTGAGAAGGAGGAAGAGCAGCTCTCCTTTGACGACCCGGATAAGAAAATCTACCATCTGTGCATTGTGAATTTGGTGATTGGGACACTTTACTGTGCCAAAGGAAATTATGAGTTTGGGATTTCTCGAGTTATCAAAAGCTTGGAACCTTATAATAAAAAACTGGGAACTGATACCTGGTATTATGCCAAAAGATGCTTCCTGTCCTTGTTAGAAAACATGTCAAAGCACACGATCATGCTTCGTGACAGTGTTATTGAAGAATGTATCCAGTTTCTAGAACACTGTGAACTTCATGGCAGGAACGTACCTGCCATTATTGAACAACCCCTGGAAGAAGAAAGAATGCATATTGGAAAGAATACAGTCACCTATGAGTCCAGACAGTTAAAAGCTTTGATTTATGAGATTATAGGATGGAATATGTAGTCATGTCTTATATTGGCTTTTGGCTTTGTTGACTATATTTCACTCTTTAAATCTACAATATATTTATTCTTGGCATCTTTATATTTGTTACATGTTGAACTCTGTACACTTAAAATTATAATAACATTCTGTTTGAGAAAGTTTTCCATTTAATTGAGTATGGAGCATTGCAGTACGAGCTGAATCAGTTTTGTATCCTCTCTGCCAGTAACAGTCTCCATGTCTTTTCCTCAAGCAACAATTGCTAGAGTGGCATCTTTAAATAAGCAGGTATCCCTAAATCGCCATTTATATTCTACTTTAGGCTGTAAAAGAGAGTGTGACATGAGCAATGAACTGTTGGAGTAGATGTTTTTGCATTTCTCTGGTGACTAAATGATGGCAGCCCACGGCTGGACCATTTCTTAACCAACAAAGACAGTTTCATTTTGCCATTTTAGGATAGATTGTGCTGTCCAGTAAGACCAATTCTGACCTTAACACTATGTCTCCACTCCATTTTTTCAGTCCTTTAACCTCTGGGTCTCAACAAAGTCAACTTTGGACCCTGGCCTAAGCTCTTTGTGAAGTACCAGTATTAAATGGATGATGGTTTTTTTCTTGGTTCTTTTCAGGTTATAAGGTTTGGTTTGTGACTTAATTTTTCTTCCATAATTTGGTTGATTGGTTGGCCTTAAGTTTTAAAATCAGTATTTCCCTTCATTTTCCATTTCTGATTTTCCAGAATTGATTGTGCCTCCTTGTGAATACTGACTAATGTCAAGTATGAAAGCTTTCAAATATGTTCAGTGTAGGGGAAAGAAAGCACTGAACTGACAATGAAAAGACTAAGGTATGAGTTTCAGGCCTTCCAGTCAAATTTCAGGCCTTAAGAAATTCATTTATCCCTTGAGGTGTCAGTCATTTGAAATACTAGGTGCTCTTAACAGCTACATCTGGCTGTAACATCTGATTCTGTATAAGCCATATAGAAGAAAGTTCCTTCTTTTATGACCTGGATGTATAAGAACAAGTTAATCCAGAAATGAAATATAGAATTGTATTTCAAATGAATTTTCTCTGTTATTTTGGATTACAGTAAATATTAGCACCTAAGGTAAATGTTTGTTATTGTTGGATGCTATAACATATTGATTACTAAGAAATTTGGGCTTTTTTCCCCTTTTTTACTTGGAGCTTTTGCTTACAACTCAAGCTATGAAATGTATATAAGGCAGTCCTCATTCTCTGCTGTGATTGTGCATAAGTTAAAAATTTTGTAAATATTTAGAAATTCTTTAATTCTCTTCACTTCCCCTTTTAGTTTATCTACTATATGTATATATGGGGGTGGGGGAGAGGAAAGATTTGCTTTTAATTCTTCCAAAAAATGATATCCCCAAAATGATATAAATTATATGTAGGCTATTGTAATAGGCATTTGTTATCACTTATTCTTGAGATAATTAGAGCCTTTCCTGCCCCTGAGGAGAAGACCTCCAGCTGCCAGTCTGCCAGAATTCTGGAGACAGGAACAGGTGAGGTGAGGATGAAGTGAAGATTTAGCTGTGTGATTTACTTCACAGCCTACGTTGGAGCTCCTACATGTCCAAATCTCAGTAGTTAATCAAATGTCTGCTGCCGTTAACAGAAGTAATGGATAACAGAGTGGAAGTAACAGATGCCACAGCTATTTCTGTAACTAACTCACCTAATCAAATCATCTGTCCTTACACCCCCCTTTTATTTAATATAAGGAGGAGAGGTCACTGCAGACTTTCCAAAAGGACAAAGCCACAATGAACAAGAAGACAGTCCCCAGGTTATAAAGCTTTCTCTTGGAGTCTTTCCTTTTTCTGCCTTCAAAGGATCAATTTAGCAGATAGTAGTGTTCACTGCTGCAGAACGTATCACAAGATAAGAAATGAAAAATCTACCTACCTGACCACCTGCTTGTTTTTCCTTTTTTAGCTTTTCTCCCTTTTGTCAATTATAGGGACATTTCTTTGATAGCTGGCAGTTGAAACCACAAGCAGGTGTATAAGGTACACATTTACCTTTTAACAATAAGTGTTAGGTAAGATAGCACTGATTATCAAAATGACTTTAGAAACCATATCACCATGCATTTTTGCAAATAAGGTAACATTTATCAATTAGAAGTGGCTCTCAAACTGTTAAAGGCAGAGAAAATTTTAAGAGTATTCACCAAAAGCACTGGATATATATAATTTGTGGAATACAATGAGCTTTATTTGTATACTTGCAGTAACCTCTTTTAAACTCTACTTGACCTCAATAGAAAAACAGTGACTGAAAATTTAAAGATGTGCAGTATATTTATTTAAAATGTCCTGTGACACTGGGAATTAAATATACTCAACTCTAGAGGGCACTTGCTTCTCTGTATCCATAATAATTTTATATGGAAAAGTAGAGCCAGGCATTAGCCAGAAGGTAATTAATTAATTAGCCATAGGTAGAGTGTGGTCTTATTTTAATGTTCTCCTGGCTGGGGTGGGGTGATGGGGAGGGTCTTTACATGGCAATTATTTTATACTTGGGTCCACAATTAATTGAGGTTTTTTTAGTTGCTTAATTAAATCAGCTCCCTTGGATTTGGGCCAAGATTGATCCATCACATACTGAAATCCTGTCTACATCATCATAATGTGTATATATATATATATATATATATATATATATATATATATATTAGAAAAGGAATTGCCTTCATAGGGAAAAATGATTTGAAAATAGCTCTGTGTGCATTTCTAGCATGAAAGACATGCATTTCTTAGTTTAAGTAGGACCACCAGTAATTTAATTATGAATATTATTAGGTGGACATGTAAACTGAGTCCAAGTCCTTTGTTCAAAAGTGAAATTTGCACATTTGTGAAATTAAACACATCATTATCAATGACTGGATACCTCAATTCAAAATAACAAATGGCTAAAATTGTACCGCACAAACAGGACCCAAGAAAGGTGAGTGAGGAAGCACTTATTGCTATTATTAATTTTGTTTCCAATTATTTTAGTTCGAGAACCAAATGCTTAAGATAAAAGACACATGACTAAAGGTTCCCCAGCACTCATGGCAACTACTCTAAAAAGTATATCCACAGAGTCCAGACTCTTGCCTGAATTCACCAGGAAATAACTGGCTGGGGAGTGTTTCTGTCTCTGCTGCAGAAGTCAGAGGCTATTCTGTAAAGACTCAACCTTTTGGTCCCAGTTGTTCCATATTTGTCAAAGACATCTCCTATAGTTTATTCACTTAGTGTACGTGAAGGACAATATCTACTTTGGGGAATATAAGATGGTTAGTCCATTTTAAGTCAGGAAATACTATGTTTATAGCAAGAGATGGTCACACCTAACATTATAAAGCAAAAGAAAGCTTTGGACATCGAATCATAACACTTTGCTAAAAAAGGTCCTGTTCCAAGGCAATATCACCTACCCACATATGCCATTATTCTATGCATTTACTAGAAAAGGCAAAACTTTTTCTGTAGGCATTTTTGTTTCCAGATCTTTTGTTTTTGTACTGGTTCATTACATTTAAACTTTTTTAAAAATGCCAAAGAACAGAAGTGAGCTATACATGATTTAACCAGGATGCTGAAAGTAGTTCTTAGCCCTATTCATAAACTAAGGATATTACTTTTCTGACAAGATATACATAAGATTTATAATGAAATGATTAGCAAATTATGAAGTTATTCTGGAAATAATCGTGCTATATAAAATGGAAAATCACAATAATTTAGCTATAATTTAAGTACGTTTTTTAAATTACAAATTGGGTATTATGCTCAACATTGGGAATGCATCTGTAACAATGAGGCCAGAGCTGGAACTAGCTCATCTCTTGAATCATAAAACTCTGAGGCTCACAGAGATTAATATGACTTGCCCAAGATCACAGAGCCAAATAGTGGCAAAGGCAGGATCACAATCCAGGGCTTTTGGCTCCATTCCTGTGTTCTTTCCACTCTACCATATTCCATCCCTTAGTTTTTGTCCCCAAATTATCCTGACTCTATCAATGCTAAGCATTTCTTTTTCCAGAGCTAAGCATTTCTTTTTCACTACTTCTGTTACTGCTGATTATTTAATTGGTGTTTTAATAAGTATTTCCTAAAGTACACTTATTGAGCACATTCCTGGGCTGGCCTAAATTATATGATAGTTTTCAAAAGTGTGCCAGAGGGAACTTGAGTAGGCACCACATATTGTTTGCAGCAGGCTCAGGTTTAGCTGTGGTACAAGCTGGGTTGGACAAAGATTATAGACCCACCTGTTGTTTCATCTCTTTTTTTAAAAAATCACTTTTTATGAACCTTCTTCAAGTTAGTGATTTTCTTCTCTCCACGACAGTCTCTAGCCACCAACCATAGTAAAAGCAGCTGTCAGAAGGCTTCTCTGCACCGCAAATGCAAAGAGCTACGTATGAGGCACTTACACAGAAATCGCAGAAGAGGGCCAGCTGCTTCCACATGTATTTACAGTGTTCCCAGAGACTTGGGAAGCTTCATAAAGCTTTACCTTTACGTGCAAAATCCATTTGAGCGAAGACATTAAACGCTTATACTGTTCCACGAGACTGAGGACCCAGTTTAGCTTAGATCTTGGGGAGGAAAAATTAAAAGCGAACTAAGAACAAGAGAACAAACTGGGTCCCTGTTATCTACCTTCTTTTTACCCTTTGTACTAATAACGCTCAGTCCTCGTTACACCAGAATCAGCTGGTAAACTTTTCAAAATAGAGATGCCTGGGCCCTGCCCCCTAAAGGTTCTGTTTTAATTTATGGAGATGGGAGCAGAAGGGAGGGGTCAGTTTTTAAAAAGTCCCCCCACATGACTGTAATGCGTAGGTTGATAACCCCTGTTTGATACAGACATAACAGGAACTACATGAAGGATACATGTCACCATGAGGAGTGGGGCACAGTCTGAGAATGAAATGATCCTGATACCCAACCTAAGGAAATTATTTAAAATGAATAAATAGAAATAATCAGGGCATCTGAATTTGTTAAGGCATTCAGTCTGAAGTATTCTGATTTATTCATATGCAGCTTTTTAACCAGTGAAACCTCTTTTAAAAAATTTTTTTTACTGTCATGCATTCAAGAATTCTTTTTTTTAGATTTTTATTGGGGAATTGGGGAAGGGGAACATTGTGTTTTTCCAGGACCCATCAGCTCCAAGTCAAGTTGTCCTTCAATTTTAGTTGTAGAGGGCACAAACTCAGCTCCAAGTCTAGTCTCCACTTTCAATCTAGTTGCGCACAGGGGGTGGGGTGGGGGGGGGTGGATAGTCCACCTTCCGACGCAGGAGTTGAACTGGCAACCTTGTTGCACACTGAGCCATTCGGCAGCCCATCACAAATCTTAGTTGTGGGGGCGAGGGGCACAGCCCACCATCCCATACGGTGTCGAACCAGCAACCTTGCTGCCAAGACCACACACTCTCACCAGCTCAGCAGCAGCTCAGCTCAGGCACAGCTCACTGGCCCATGTGGGAATCGCACCAGCGACTCTGTTGCTCAGAGCTTGCGCTCTTAACCAACTGAGCCATCGGCCGGCCCCCAAGAATTCTTAAAAAATATTTGGTTTTCAAAGAAGGAATCTGAAAAATGTTGAAGTATCTAGAAGCTATGAACTTTGATAGTGGATACTTTTTCAAGAGGGTTTCCAGAATTTAAGCATATTCTCATGCTTTTCTTCCTTCAAAGACTCATAAGTATCATTTACTGTCATCACTTTTTATTTTACTGTGCTTTGCTAAATTCAAAAGTAACTCTATATATGCATTATCATAACCATCCTCATAAATAGTTTTGATTGGCTTTGGATGTATCCAATTTGTTCTCCTAATATAGACCATATTCATCTGCTCTCCCTGTAGATATGGATTCCTCCAAACCTGACTCCAATCCCATATGTACATTTATGCATGTACATACATCTTTTAAAATTTACACTGAAAACATAATATTCAATGGTTACAGTGGTTTATAATCCAACATCCATTCCCTACCCCTTCTTGGCTCCCACTCCCAAATGTTTGGTCTAAATTAATGGTTCTCAAATGCTCTGCTTGCATTAGAATCACCTGGGGAAACTTTTAAAACTCTCAATGCCCCAAGCTGCATCCCAGGATAGCTGTGGGTGGGACCCAGGTGTTAATATTTTTCTCAACTTTCAAAATGCAGCCAAGGTTGAGTACCGCTGGTCTAAACCCACTGTTGTAATTTCTTCTTTCTGTGATTGATTTAGAAATAAGCATGTGACCCAATCTTTCCCAAGGCATGAGAAGGCTTCCTTGAAGGGCTGTTAAGAAAGCTTTCTTTACCTCTTTAAAAAAAAATAAAAAGGCTCTAAGAAGGACTCTTTCTTCCTCTGGGCACTGTTAATCTGAATCTGCTGCCACCATCTTATGACTGTGACAGAAATCAGCCTAAAGGTGAAAGTGACTTTGAAGATACCAAGAAAAATAAAGAACTTGAGTCTTTGATGACATCTTTGAGCCTCTGTATTACCTACGAAAGAGACTGACCAACCCTCTGGGTCTCCTATAAAATGGAAAACATAAATTATCTTATTGTTTAAACTTGTTTGAGCTAGATTTTTCTGTTACTTGTGTGTAAAAGCACCCAGACCACACTCACTCTACTAAGGTCATACATTTTGAGTGTTGTCCGTATATGCATATGAATTCTTATGCATATTCCCAACAATGTAGTCATCCAGTCTTCCTTGAGAATCAGCATCACTCCTTAGGTTGTAGTAAGTAGGACAAAGTGAGTTGATCTTTGTAAAGACTTTGCTTGAGACCTTGACTTCATTAGTATTAACTGCTCATCCAGTCATTGGAAATTGCAGCAGCTACTCATGAGATTGGGTATACTTTCACATTCTTGGGCAAGCATTCACTTAGGTAGAAGTACATGGAGAATGAAAGAGCTCTGCCCAAATGAGCTGTCCCGAAGTCTAAGGCTTGCTCACTGCTTCTTGGCAAAGCCACAAGATAAACAATGTATATAGTGACTCACAGGAAAATATATTCCTCAATTTTAGAATTTCCTCCACATTCATGTAAAGTTGTTTCAGTAAAAGCTCAATAATAATAGAAGAAGAAAAATGAAAGTGAAAACAACAGAAGCATTTATTCACGTATAGTACCTAAGTGTGAAAGTCAGGCAACCTAACCTCTCTGGTGAGAAATGCTAACCTATATACTGCACTATTTCAGCTTTTGCCCTTTGCAGTCATCAACCTTGCTATAGAAAAAGCTTCACAAAAAATAAACACTTGAGTTCTTGATAACCCCTACAGCACTGCATTTCACATATCAGGCCCAGCTTATTCTGAGATGTTGGCTTACATCAGTTCTCTAAAAGAAAGAAGAAAGAAACTCAAAT